TCGTAGTGAACGGGGAAGCATCCTCGTTGGAATCTCTTCCACAAATAACATATTGGGGATGAAGTTACCTGAAAACTTCCTCGTTACCAATGGAACGTGAATGAAATTTGAATTAGTCGATTCTGTGTACATAGCTTGACAGGGGTTAGCTGTAAATGTCTAGACTGCTGCATTGAAAGAATGCAAATTGAATTCTGATATTTTCAAGTGCTTTGCTCTTATATTTTATGACTGAAGATGAACGATTTTTTTACACCTTAGCAACACTAAAACAAATAATATTGGTATGATATTTACAGTAATCTGTTGATTTGTCCTTTTTCTATGTGCTATGTCTCTTCAGAGGGTGGCTGATCATGGCTTTCTACAACTTCATGTCTGTTATGGCCCTTAGCAACATTTTTTTTTCTTTTTGCTATCAATCTTAATCCCTGTCCTCCCAACCATTTACACAGACTCGTGAGATTGGTCATGTACCGCTTTCTTCTGTCTCTCTTACCTTTAATATTTCCTGTGAGTGTTAAATTTTCCAAACCTTTTTTCCTCATCATGTGTTCTAGAAATCTCCGATCCAACTTGTAAGTGTCTTTTCTGTTTCCATTTGCTTCAAAACTTCGCCATCGCTCGTTTACAGTCCATTCTCAACATCCTTCTGTAGAACTACATTTCTGTTGCATCAAGTCTCTTCTTCATCTTTAATAAGATTCCGCAGCATTCACTGGCATATAGGAGTACTGGTATTACATAACAGATAAGGACTCTTTTCTTTGTCTCTAACGAAATTCTTCTGTTTCTTAATACATTGCTTAGTTTTTGAAAGGCAACTTTCGCTATCCCAAAACATTTTCTGATTTTGCTGTCGCATTTTTCAGCCACTGTTAAAAAAAACTTCCTAGATATTTAAATTTTGGCACTTGCTTACTTTAAAAATGACTTAACAACATATTCACAAAATAATTCATTTCAAGTTTCTGCTATTTGAAATGGATATTGATTTTCTTGCATACAAATTTTGCAGCGTAAAAAAACAAAGAAGTAAGAAGTTGTTGTGTATGATACACCTAATTTACATAAGCGGACTACCGACCATATAAATATGGGTTGGTACCGGAAGACGGGGAAGTTAGTCGAGATTAAGCGTTTACATTGTTTCTTCTCTGACCGGTGCTAGACATATTTGCTGTCTAACAAAGGACTATTTTTTTCAACTTTTCAGACTGCTTTAATTTAGTTAAGTTTTTTGATTTAATTATACACCTTTTTTTCTAACGTGATTTTTTTTTGACTCTTTGTTAAATTTGTCATTTTTTCGAACTTTCTATTTTGACCTTTTGTTTTTTCCTTTTCATTTCCTTTCCTTTTAACCGTTACTTCTTTTTTGTTATTAATTATTTCTGTTCTGAGTTCTTTTTTTTTTTCAGTACCCACACCCCGGAGTTTTTCTGTTTATTTTTCGTTTCTCGTTTGACCTTTTTTAATTTTTACGTGTTTCTGTGTTACCTGTTTAAAAAAAAAAAAAAAAAAAAAAGTCTACGTGTTTTTTATTTTTAATTTTGTAATCTCTGTCCCTCCTCTTTTTTAACGTTAGCGGCAGCCATTTTGTAAATTGTAATTTTTTTTTTGTTTCGTACGTATTGCGTTTTCTCTTTTCCGTTTATAACTATTAGTTTTATTTTGTAATTTGTTGCTTTTTGTCTATTGTCCTTTAAATTTTTGTTCTTTTCTTCATTTTCGTGAACCTTGTTCACATTTTCTCGTCTGTATATTTGGTTTTTTTGTATCTGTTTACATTTGTGGTTATAATTTTGCACACGTCCTCCTGTTTGATTTTTTTTTTTGTCTGTTGATATTTGTTTAATTGTTGTCTTGCTGATAGGCCAAACTTTTTTTTTTACCTCCCTTTTTTTTTTTTTCTCCCTCCCTCCGCCTATAAGGCGGTTCCCCACCCGTATTTACCCCTCCTCCCCTCTTATTATTATTTAAAATGGAGAAAAAAGGAAGGAAAAAGCACCCTCCTTTTTGGCTATTAAAAAAAGCCCAAAAGGCTATTGAAAGCACCTGTTCAACCCAACCAAAAAAGACCCCCGGACAAAGACAGTTTGAAGAGTTTCAGCTCTTAATACCTCTTCCCCTAGCAGTGTGGAATCTGTTGGGGAAAAAGTCAATAATAATGAAAAATTTACTTTACGGAAGCTCAGAATGGCAACAAAATGACTCAACTATGGAGGCCAATAATGGCCATGATTCTGAAAAAATCCAAAATGAACTGCAACTGAGCCTGAGGCCGGGGAATCGCCTTCTTGTTGGTCGTCCCTCCAAAGTGCATTATCAATTTAGCGGAGTTCTTGGAGCGTGCCAAAAGTTACGCACACCTTGTTGTAGATGGTGGACTTTTGGAAGACCCCAAGAATTGAAAAAATTGACAAAAGAATAGTGTTTTTTCGTCGTGGACAAGCGTACGCGCAAAATGATTAAAATTCTGTGTCATAGGGAAAAGAATTGTGAAACACATTGTCTAATTCAGAATCATAGAAAAAGAAAAAGTATAATGGTTGAACCATAGATTTAAAGAGTTTAAGATCGTGATGAATGGAAGCATCCTCGTTGGAATCTCTTCTAAATAACATATTTGGGGATGAAGTTACCTGAAAACTTCCTCGTTACCAATGGAACGTGAATGAAATTTGAATTAGTCGATTCTGTAAAACATAGTTTGACGAAGGGTTAGCTGTAAATGTCTGAACCTGCATTGAAAGAATGCAAATTGAATTCTGATATTTTCAAGTGCTTTGCTCTTATATTTTTATGACCAGATGGATTTTTTTACACGTAGCAACACTAAAAACAAATAATATTGGTATGATATTTACAGTAATCTGTTGATTTGTCCTTTTCTATGCTGCTGTGTCTCTTCAGAGGGTGGCTGATCATGGCTTTCTACAACTTCATGTCTGTTATGACCTTTAGCAACTTTTTTTTTTTTTTTGCTATCAATCTTAATCCCTGTCCTCCAACCATTTACACAGACTCACGTGAGATTGGTCATGTACCGCTTTCTTCAGTTCTCTCTTACCTTTAATATTTTCTGTGAGTGTTAAATTTTCCAAACCTTTTTCCTATCATGTGTTCCAGAAATTCCGATCCAACTTGTAAGTGTCTTTTCTGTTTTCATTTTCAAACTTCGCCATCGTTTACAGTCCATTCTCAACATCCTCTCTAGAACTACATTTCTGTTGCATCAAGTCTCTTCTTCATCTTTAATAAGATTCACGCAGCATTCACTGGGCATATAGGAGTACTGGTATTACATAACAGATAAGGACTCTTTTTTCTTTGTCTCTAACGAAATTCTTTCTGTTTCTTAATACATTGCTTAGTTTTGAAAGGCAACTTTCGTATCCCAAAACATTTTCTGATTTTGCTGTCGCATTTTTCAGCCACTGTTAAAAAAACTTCCTAGATATTTAAATTTTTGGCACTTGCTTACTTTTTTAAAAATGACTTAACAACATATTCACAAAAATAATTCATTTCAAGTTTCTGCTATTTGAAATGGATATTGATTTCTGCATACAAATTTTGCAGAAAAAAAAAACAAAGAAGTAAGAAGTGTATATTTCTTTTTTCACCAACGAGAAACTCAATTCATGGTGTTACTTTGGGGTCTTGTATATCTTTTAATTTGGTTTCTAGATCATTTAAGTTATCAGATTTTTTTTTCAAATTTGCACATAGATGTTAATATTGTCAAAAGATTTTTTTTACTATTGTTCACACAATATAGGGTGCAACAGCTACAAAATGTTGTTAAATGAGGTTCTTGTAAGCACATAATTATTAGGAGGATATGTAAGGATATAACGGTTGGCCATAGGCTTCAAGAAGTTAAAATTGTGCACATTTACAAATCTATCATTCCTTTATATATTGTTGCCATATCTAGTCTGGTGCTCCTGCTACATATCTGGAGGTTAATCCACACAATCCAAAGAAGGATCGGCAATGTAATCGATCCTGACTTTTTTTTTTTTTAATTCTTTCCATTTTTAATCAGTTCCTCAATCCCCCCTATACCTAATCTTTTCTCTCACTTTCAGTCCCTGTAATCTCCTGCGTACTAGTGGCATTCGCGCAGTACTTGGGGTGAAATTATTTTTTTTTTAAATCCACTAATTCATTGCAAGAGCATCCCACGATAAGAAAATGCTTCATGAAAACAAAGCTTTAGCATCTAAATATTTTATTATTAAGAGGAAAGACAAATTTGAAATAAATATTTTTTATCCTTTCTAGCACGTTCGAAATTTTGATTCAAAACTTGTTTTTCTTGCATCGACGGGGGTTCCAGATTTTAGTATAGGAAACTTTATCGTTCTTTCTTTTTTTTTCTTTTTTTTTTGTTTGTTTTCGGTAAAAAAAAAAAATACACCAATGTCAAAACTCTTGCAAAAATCAAATAATTGTCGGATTTTAATGAAACTTTCAGGACTTATTGAGAAAGCAATGAAATCATTTTAGAAATGTTTTGTTGCTTAGAAAATTTGTTGGAAAGAATGCCATGACACTGTAAAGCAATAATTAAGGCTGGTGGTGGTTTTATTGACTAAAACAAAATATGATGCTGTTGTATGATTTATTTGATAGTCATGTGCTTTTATTTTTCAAAATAAATGCAAATACACTGTAGATAGTAAAATGTTATCTTTTACTTTAAAAAATACAAAAAAGATCTCATTTTAAGGTGTTTTTCAAACAAATACAAGGTTGCTTCACATTTTTTACACACACACACACATATATATATATATATATATATATATATATATATATATATATATATGTATGTATCTAATCCTTATATTTTCTATATTTCTCTTCCCTTCCTTTTTCCCTTTATCTTTCTCCCTTTTTATGAAGCAGTCAATCAATAATATTGTCTCTGAATCTCAGTTTCATTCACGACCTCTATAATTTATTTTTCTCCCAATCATTCGAGCCACATGATTATTTTTTACACATGTCTTTTCTCTCTCTTTGATTACCCCTCACTCTCACTATCTTTACTCACACTTTTCTCTTTCTCTCTCTCTCTCTTTATCTTTCTCTCTCTCTATCTCTTTCTCTTTCTTTCTCTTTCTCTCTCTCTATCTCTATCTATATATCTATCTATCCATGTGTCTGTCTATTTCCCTTTTCTAGGAATTTATTTTCCACTTTTATTTGTCCTTTTCCCGGGTTATTTTCTTTCCCTTTTAATTTTCGTTTTCTCTTCCAGCAACTGTCATATTTGTCTCATTCTGCTCCACCAACCGCTCTTCCCCACCACTTCCTTTCTTTGCCGAAGAACTGCTCTTTCTCTTACCTCCTCTTATTTTCTCTCTCCGTCTCATTTTTCCCTTTCATTTCATTCTCCTCCACCACCCACAACTCTACAAACGCTAAAATCATATCCATTAACGTTACTAAAGAACCATCTCCCAATATGGCGATACGTCCGTTTCTGGAACGCACTTATTCGACCACACCCCCGTATGCCATATACTGTGTCCAAAGTTTGTAGCAGCAAGTTTCGGCCATGTTTGCGACATGTATATCAATTTGTTATGACAACGTGCTTGCCGCATTTTCCTTATGACACACGTAATCGTTACTGCATCTACTGCTACAATAACTGCTGTGGTTCTTGTTGTTGTTGTGACACCTGTGTTCTACCATATTTTTTTCTTATCACTGTTCGTATTGTTGTTGCAGTGACAATGATAATGGCACAAGCAGTACGTGATTTATAGCGCTGTTTTCAGTTGGTTTAATGTATCATGTATTTATTTATCAGTGTTTTTGCTAGGTGTTTTGGGCGGGAAAGTTAGCCTGTGTATTATTACGGTACTCCAGCACGTTTATCATGACGCTGTTGTGTGAGTGCAACGAACTGTAGGCCAAGTTTTTTTCTATTGTAATATATCGGGGCTTTTTCTTTTCCATTTTCCTTTTTTTTTTCTTTTTTTTTTTTTTTTTTTTTGCTGTTTTTTATACTTTCGCTTCTGTGTTTTGCTGCAGTTGATTTTCGGGTGCATTACTCTGATATTTTGATACAACATCTGGACATTATCAAGTTCTTCTAAGACATAAATATAATCAAGATGAGATAGATAGATATAGATATATATATATATATATATATATATATATATATATATATATATATATATATATATATATATATATATATATATATATGTCTACTCTACAGTTGTATTGAGCTCTTTTTGTTAGTCGTTTACAAAATGGGTTTTTTCTTTGGGCTTTGAACCTGTATCTGTCTGTGATTTTTTTCGATAGACTTTCATGTTTTTGCTCTTTTTTTAAAACTTTTTTTCCTTCTTGATTGATTTGATTATTGGCAAATCAAAATTCGAAGGTTTTTTCGAAACGAGTATAGTTATATATATATATATATATATATATATATATATATATATATATATATATATATATTCTTTTCATTTTCTTTTCATTCAAAATAATCAAAAATTTTTTTTAGGAATACGTTTTGAAAGCGTCGCCCATGTGACGACAACGTGACCATGCTAAACGGAAAGCTTGATCATTTTAAAATTTTCAGTTATCTGTTTGGATAAGACTTGTTTTTATGTCCATCGTCTTTGTCAAATTGAACTGAATTGTATTTTTAATGAATATTGTCCTGAAGAAGGTTTATTAAACCGAAACGTCAGACGTCGACATTTCATTCATTTTAAACAGCATAATTGCATTTAAGGATTTTTGTTTGTTTTTTCCAAATTTTTCTTCATATATATATCGAGACAGAGATTAACAGATTACGATAGATAGATAGATAGATAGATAGATAGATATAATTCATAGGCAGGAATTTTGATTGGTATATAATTTGATTAGTTTTACATGTCATCACTTGTGGGGTTATTTTATCTGACAATCTTAAGGAGAACCACGTGGGGATATTTGCTATTCCTTAGTCGTGACCAGTCAGAATATCCTCACTAACCGATATGACAAGACAGATAGATAGATAGATAGATAGATAGAATATAACGTGCAAGAATATTAATAGATATATAATTAGTTTGGTCAAAATGGAAACAAAATTTACACTTATACTTGGAACAAACAGAAATAAAAGAAACAGTTGGATGCATAATGAGGAAAGAGGACTTGGAGAACTCAACACTCCCAGTAAATAAGAAAAACAAAAAGTACTGAAGTAAATATCATCTAGCCTAACTAACGAGCTTGTATAAATGGATGACAGAAAAGGGTCTGGATTGAATAGTAAAGGGTCCAAAATTGCTTAGGAAGTTGTAGAGAGCCATGATCACCCAACTCCTGAAGGGACACGGGTAAGTATATTAGTAACCTCAAAATAAGAATTGCATACGATTCTGCATCACTGTAAGAATAAATACATCCTAAAAAATGTGAATTTGGGCCTTAATAAAGAAAACATTACTCATTATTTTTCTGTTTAAGTTCTCCTTTCCTACGGCGAGAATGTATTAATATAAAGACATTTATAAATATAAATAGCATTTATCCGTCATATTTCATTTAAAAGATGCATCTGGATTCTTCAGTCTATGATGGCCATTATCTCAAGATCAGCCTTAAAGGAAGACGCCATTATGAAGTTCAGGTTCTAAGAGCTAGCTGACCAGGTCGATAACATTGAGCAAGAAAAAAAAATTCTTTTGAAGGATGGGAAATAAACCCTCTGTATTATTTACTAGAAATCAACGACTCAAAGTGAAAGTAATATTTCATCACAATCCCCGACTCAAACAAGAAATTTTAAAATCAATTTTCGCTCAAGTCTTACTTAATGAATATTTTCCAAATTCGATTCAAGCTCCAAATTGTCAAGCCATTTCAGACGCTATTTTTGCACGGGGAGGCACGGTGGAGTAATGGGTAGCGGCTCGAATTCCAGTCGAATTCATTACATTCACTTACGTACTAATACCCTTGGAAAATGTATGAGTCCTCTTCTTCTCCCCCCAAGCTATGGGTAAATAGCAGAACAGACCAGGTTCTATAGCCTTGGATGGTAACTCGTCTACCGTAGAAAGAAACGGCAACCTACAGCGGGAAAACAATCTGCCTCGTCAGTCATGTATGAAAAGATACCTGATCGCCTAAGCGTGGACCACGTATGGCACATAAATGATTTTTGCACTAGGAAATCATTAACGGTCAATGTAGAATCAGATTTTTTTTTCTCTATTGGTGCACATTTTGTTATTTTAAGAAAATAATTGTACGTACTTGAGTTCTGTACGTATTTAAATTACAACAATGAAATAGATTAATATATCCTTGCTGCCTGAACAAAAGTAGGAACAAAAATTACCGAATCGTTTCATTTATTCAATGCATGCTTAAGATTTTAGTTCTAAGCAGTCTACCCGCTGGTGAAAACGCCCAAACAAAAGACCAAATTTGCAAAGCCTAGTCATTTTATACACACACCGCTAGAAAATCGCCAAAATTAAAAAAACAAAAATAAAGTGGGTTAACAAGTTCATATTTTATTTCCACAACATATTAAATATTAAGAATTTAACTGATGTTATTGTACTATATTATTTATTATGTTATTATTATTAACTAGAAATAGCCGTGAAAATGTCATGGTTTGCCTGTTTTAATTTTCAGATGGATTCTTGGGTTAATGATTGAATATCCTCATGGCGAGTTCTTCGACAACAGAATATCCATAGAAATTTCCCTATCGCAAAGCGAAATATTTGAGTCATAACTTTAACAAAATATTGCAATAACAATCAAAAATATAATTGTTGGTCGTTAATTTAAGAAATTTAGGGAGCACAAATGAAAAAAAAATTTTTCAACTATTTCATTGAAACAAACGTGAAATACTTCTATCTTCCCGAATTTGTCTATATTTCTGAGATGAGGTATTATGTACATTATTTATATTATTCGGACTATTGTCCTCGTCGCCATATTTATAACAACGTTTCGGCCGTTGTACGTTCCGGCCTTCCTCAGGTCTCCGGTACCGTCTCCTAAAATCTTGAAATTTCCTATTTCTTGTTTAAATTGGTAATTGTAAATGTCTATAGCCTTCTTTATAATAAAGAATGGTCATATAGTGTTTTCACACAAACACACACACACACTCTCTCTCTCTCTCTCTCTCTCTCTCTCTCTCACACACACACACAGACATATTCCTTCGGGGTGTGGATAATTATGGCTCTCCACTGCTTCTTAAGGATCTTGTCTTTGTCATTCTCTTTCAGCGATTCATTTGCACAATCATCTCAAATAGGTTACTCGCTACTCCTGGTAACACTTACTTAACGATGCATTTGGCATTACAATTGGTTTCTCAAAACTGAAATTACTTCTGATGCAACCTAATAAATTATTTGATTTGAGATCACAGTCTACAAAAAGGTCAAGTGCAGATGTTTTAATATTGAAAGAATGCAATTTTTTTTATTGTGGCAAGAGCAAAGTTCAGATCTGCAGTGATCTGAAATGGTTAGATTTATCAAAATATACTTAGGAGATTATGCTGAAAATTTTCTACACTCCTCCCACTAAGAATAAATTCCATGTATTTATAATCTGAAATACCACCTCTTATTATAATCCAACATATATTCACTGCATGCAATCGCTTCTCACCACAAAATCAAGTTCCATCAGAACGTCACGATCGATAACCAATCTGGTCTCCCGTCTTGGGTGTGACGATAAACTAAATCCGCGTCCTGGGTAAGACGATAAACTACATCCGCGTTCTGGGTAAGACGATAAACTACATCCGCGTCCTGGGTGTGATGATAAACTACATCCGCGTCCTGGGTAAGACGATAAACTACATCCGCGCCCTGGGTAAGACGATAAACTACGTACAACACCAAGGCCACTGATCAGGATGTTTTGAGGAGCGTGGAACCACCCCTCTTAATTGCTGGTTTCCCCAAGTCCACCCTGACCCTATTAGGATCCCAACTATGGGTAAATAGTTGAACGAAAAATGGGGTTAGAACATTATGAAAGTGTAAAAATAGGTTTTAATACCAGCAATACATTTTTGAAGAAAATAAATACTGCCAGCAATACATTTTTTAAGGAAAAATATTACCAGCAATAAAAATTTTGTCGACATTAAATAACCCATTGAGGTTTATGTGCCGTAAAAAAAAAAAAACAAAAACAACTTGGTCGCTAAGTGAGTTTCAACATACTATGAAACAGGAAAATTTCGCTAAATAATACTAAACTGCTATCTGATATTTGTTTTCCTGTGTGGCAGCGAATGCTGGACGATCTCCGCAAAGCTGAAGAGGAGACTTGAAGAAACGGAAATGTTGTTCTACAGAAGGATGCTGAGGATACGGGGGAGCTAACATGAAAGCAAGAACGAAGTTTTGGAGAAAATGGAAACAAAAAGGAAACTAATACCTAACAGTTGAGGTTTTCTGTGGCATATAATGAGGAAGGAAGGCTTAGAAAGTCCGACAGATAGAGGACAAGAGGGACGGATGA